TTTTTAGTCATTTACCCAAATAAATGACACCCTCTTGCGATACGTGATTTTCGTACTAATACTCCTATCACTAATTCCCCCTTCCATCAACAGTCGAGCTCAAGCCTGGTGCCAAACATTGCACTAAATCAGGAAAACGGTGTGCCCACCTACAAGATACGCTTTTCCGCGGCAATTCTAGCATCACTTACTCGTCTTACCCTTGAGTTTCAACTGTTAACTTCGTGGGTACGCTGTTTATTACCGGGCACGACTCCTGCTTCGGAGTGATCGCCAGCTCCGTGTTCCATGTCCATCAATACCACTATCGCCACCTAACTCCTTGTCTGTATAGACCTGCTCAGAACCATCGGGTATGACCACGGTGACGTTGCAGCATAAATCCTCCTCCAGATCGGTTTTTCCCAATCGTATAATTAATAGCAATACTCGTTAGGTTAAGCTAACACCGCCTTCACACAGATATTTTAAGTCTCAGGCGTATACTTGTACAGCTGGTAGAGACCGACAGTTTCACCAACCCGCTGTTCTGCATCCCAACACATGTCCCAAGCCAAGCGCAAAAGTGACTTGCTCTGTCGTTCCACGACTTTTTCTGCTTTCTAAAGCACACTTTTTCTTAAGAATCTCTGCTGTAGCATCTGATCAGGTCTACTCAACGACCGCGGCGATGATAAGATCAGGATCATAATTGTTATTTAATGACTCAGGTCTTAGATATATAATGTTATCATACCTAAGACCTAACCTATAACCAATGTGTCGTTTATAAACTATTGTTTCGAATTTCAATATATATACTCTCCACAAGATACTATCTGAATAATAATATATAATATTTTAATAATAATCTCTGAAACAAGTGGATACGACATTTTGAAATACTAAGCTACCGGCATATCGATGGAGTAAGATACCGTACTTTTTTCGATATCCTTTAATAATTATACATGCTTTATTTTAACGATACATCGTATATAGAGAGAGCTTGATAAAATAATTTTATGACAGTAAATACCTATAGATGCCATTTTACAGCAAAATTATTATTATTGATATTGCTATCGTTGTAGTCAGTCGGGGCCTTCTTCCTTAAGAAATTCAACAAGCGCAGTAAATATTATATTATAACAGTTTTTTGAGCTGCAATGTTCTGTTGTTAGGTACGTCGCTATAGTTCGTATGGCGCACAAGTACACCGAGTACAGCATCTTCTTTTAATTCAAAAACTTGCACTTAGATTTATCAGCTTCTAGAGGCTTATAAGGATTATTAACAAAACAGTCAGAAAGAGTATTTTATAATCAAAAACTAAAAAAAATAGTACACGATGTTATGCAACAATTTTTTCTGAAAAGAAATTAGAAACAAATGTATCGAAATAAATATTTAAATAAATATTTCATTGTAAAATTATTAAAAATTATTAAAAATATATTATTAACCATAAGTTAATTTATCTAATTTCTATGGACAATTGTTTTAAAATAATAGCTTAATTTATTGCTTTTGGTTCGTTATTTTGAATTTAACATTTGTTTTGTCGTGGCTTTTATATTGAGTTAATTTGATATTTTACTACATTTTAACATCTAACTTTAGTTTTTACAAGTTACAAATTTTTGTGATTCAGAACTAATAATAATGGATACAATTCGTCAGCATTTGTATTATTTCATCATACGTGTATGTTGTTATATTAAATTAGTATTCATATACGATATTTTATATAATTTGTAAAATATAATAATTGTACAGACAAAATATACAAGTCAAATAAAATACTAACTAACAAATTTAAAAATACATAACTCAAACAAATTGCTTTCATAATTCTATAAATAATAAAAACAGGTTATAGCAAACAGCATGTTTACAATTTATTGAAATAAAAAAGTATTTACTCCATGTATTAAGTAAAATATGATTCCACATTAATAAAATAAACGGAGTTATTTGCAAACTTAAAGCTAATTCAAAAACTCTTTTCTACGAGTAATAATGTAACCTTATATAGTTTTGACAAGTCCACAACTGGAAATTTTCATTAGTTCCCTTTCAAAACAGTCACCTTATAAATAAAGATTCATTAAACAAATATTAAATTCAATTAACACAAAACATATTATTGTATTTGAGCTGCCCTAGTACCCTATCGAATTATTTTTCGATTTAATGGGAAAACTATAATTGTTTTGTTCAAAAATTGTCTAAACTTTAAACTTCATACGATTAAGAAACTTTGAATGCCTACGAAAATACTTAATAATTTAAGTTTGTACATTTATTTAAATTCATTAAATTAAAAATGAATAAACAATATTTTTGTTATACTCATAAAGTTATAATTATATTAATATAAAATATAAATCTTTTAATAGTTGTATTAATTACATTAATTTACCTAAATTTTTGCTAAATTTTTTTTTCTCATAAGTTCCGAAATTTTATTTTTATTTTCAAATATTATTATTTATTAAAATTGGCGTAACACAAAATTTGTATTCAAAAATATTTAGATGTTTAAAAAGTTATGACGTTGAAAGGACAAAAATTACTAATTGCTTTCAAACAGTAAAACATTCCCTCAATACTACCTATAACAGGGGATTGTTAAGTGTTATAATATTATTCATTGACATGTTTATTTTTAGGACAGTTGGCAACAAAACACAAATCGGCCATCATGTCTGCGCCCTAAATCAACAAATTTTGCATTAGTGACAACGTCCCTAAATGGACAAATCATTGGTTATTGTACCGTAAATAATTAACAAGGTATGTTTCAAAACTTTTTAAAGCACCCATAATTGTGTATTTAAAAATGACAGTAAGCTATTGAAAGCCAGTAGGTACCAAATAAAGTAAAGTTTTATTGTTAACAGAAATAAAACAACAAATAATTTTAATAAAATTAATTTTCAACGTATTATATTATACAACAAAGTTAATCTAAACTACAACTTCTTATTCTTGAAAATCAATTATTCATATTAAATTTAAAAAAAAACAAATGATTGTTTATGTTTGTTTAAAATGAAAAATTGTATATATATTTGACTAAAAACAAATTATTACACATTGTACATATGTTATGTACATTGAGCGTCATCAAGGGAAATTATTTTTATTAAAAAAACAAAACATGCAACTTAAAATCGTTCAAATAAATAGTTATGATCAAAAATTAAGTAGTTCCTAAGTCTATAAAAAAGGACGAGACATTTTTTTTCCTTATTACTATAGCTTTACTTCATCATACTCTACTCGTATATGACTACACTAAATTAGTTTAAAGAAGCCCATAGAAGCCTGAACAAATAAAAAGTCTATTTCCAATACAATACTGACAGTACTATTATATAATCATTCTATTGTATAATCAACATTAGGTATACACTACAAACCACAGCTAAATATGAGTTATTTATAAAACGAAATCCAAGAATTTTAATCGTAAAGGTTTATAGTTTGACTTGATTAAATTAATTAAATAATAATAAAAATATCACGTTAAATAAGTACTAATCTCATTCGTATTTTGAAAGTTATTACAATTCGTTATGTTATCAAATGTTAAAAATAAAAACAAGAAACAATCTTCTAGTCGTTGAAGCTATTTCACGTCAGTTGTTGATTAAGTAGGTATATCTAATTATGTAACTAGTACAAATAACCATGAATAGGTATAATTAATATAATGTATACATATTTACCCTATGTGAATCCTAAGACAGGTCAATATAATCTCCTCAATAAAAATATACTTTTAAAATAAAATAGTCGTTTAATTTTAACAAATCTAATTAGTTACTTCCTGAATCTTGTGGACAACCATAAAGACACAGCTTTTTCCACTTAACTCCTACAATGATGGACCTCCATTATGTGCTCATCCTCATTATCTATCTATATAGTGCTTCTTTGAGTACGAACATCCATAACTGACAAAAACCGATGTGTTACATAATATTAAGAACTATAAAAAATTGTATTTTTTCAAAAAAACAATGATACCAAAAAGTGTTATAGATACCACAAAAAATATCCGTGATCATTATCCCGATTTTCAGTATCGAGATTTATTTATTCATGATCCAATCGTTGTTATAGCAATACATTGGTGTGTAAAGTGATATAAAAAAAAAAAACACGATATTGTTAATTTCAGGGAATCGTGTTTGAACACACATACAGGTACACAAACACAGCGCGAGTCACACGTCCTATTCCACATCCTGTTCTATATCTAAATCGGAAAACCGTCGAAACGGTGAAAAAAAATTTTTGACGTCACGACACTACGGACAAATCTAAGCCGACATCTAATGACAACAATAGCATATTGTTCTGACAACATTGCACCGTTGCGTGTTTGAGTAACCCGGTGGATACCTGCGATAGCATCTATTATCGTGATTATCCACGTACTTATCAACCACGGGGACAACACATCAGAAGGTACCCACCATCCGTGCACTAGTATAAACTTTGTACTTTATTGTTCTCGCAGCCGCTTGTCCGCTTATATCCCGGTGCCATCCGTTAAGTTTTAAAAATGTTCACGTACCACTTCAAAGAAAAGCCCTTTCCAACACAGCAGTTGGTTTTAATGATTTGTAAATGACGGAAGGCTTTTACATGAGGAACTAAATAACTTTAAAAACTCGGTAATGATAATATTCTAACTTTCTTTTTCTAAACAATACTCTTTGCGTACAGCTCGTATTATTATTATTATGTATGAGCTTTATCACTATGGTCGAGAACCGCCATAATAAGTATAGGCAGTATAATAGTCGTTATGACTTATACTTTAATAACGTTATCAGCTGTTGTGCCTGCCAATTTATATTATATGTGGGTACTGGGTAGGTACAATACTGTTGTACATTACAAAAGCTGTACTTGATTATGCACTTGCACGAAATGACATTACGCGATCGTGATGTATAAGTGTATACATTTATAATAATAATATTATAATTTATAATACTCACAGTGAATGTGACGGACTTTATCCTCGGAGGACATACTTAAACTTGAGTACAATTATTATACTTAAGTCACGCTGTGCGTCGTGTACACTAAACTACACTCGCGGACACCGGCTAATATTAGTGATGGCGGAGGGTGAGGGAGGAGTGAAATAAATCAGTAAAACAACTTTTGAAAGAATAACTAAAATATAATTATGAATTATTTTCCCAAAGAAGCGGAAACGTTAAGAAGTCGTTGTCGTTGTCTTTCTCGAGGCGTCACTTCGAAGCGAGCGACGCAAATCAAGTGACTGAAGGCAAGCAAATTTTAACGGCTAAAAAATTATTACCACGCGTTGTACACGGATATCGAGTGTCGGACGGACGGCGCGAATGACGTAGGTAACGTCTGCAGGTTACCACGGTATAATACCAATGTCACGTGTATACCAATTATAGCGCGAGTGATGCAAGGGTAGTGATAACGGTAAGCCGGTATAAATATATATTAATAACAATAGCATACAACGGTGTGTGTAGGTGAGACGGCCGAGCGATTGTCGTGTGGTACGTTAGTTTTGTCGTCTGTCGGCGATCGTCCGGAAGACCGGAAACGAGATGCAACGATGGCCAGCGATCGACGGGATCGGCGAAACGACGTGCAACGACCGGCCGATGACGGTCGGCAGACGGTAATAATAATAATAATGATGTGACTCGGCCGCGGGGCGAGAGGTTGCGCCACGTTTATTGTACGCCGCCGCCGTCAAAATCGCGCGCGCCACCGCCGCGTGCTTCAAGTGTACTCGGCGGCGTCGTCGGCGGCGACGGCGACTACGACGGTAATAACAATTATTATTATTATTATTATTATTATTATTATTATTGTCCGTAACGCACGTGCGACGCGACGCCCGTGACGGACTCACCCTCAGAGACGCTACAATACAACATAGCTGGTACCTAGTAATACTATAAAGGGTGTGGGAGTAAATTATTTTATAATATGCGGGCATGACATATTATTATGACAACAGACTTGTGAGGCCCGCACTGGAAGAGGAGAGTGTTTAGTACGAGGGGAGGGGGGGGGCTTTCGTTTTATAGATGGGGTATGGGGCACCAGAGCTGTATGAACCATTATAGCCAGTGGTGGCGGACTATGCCGGCAGGAATTTGGCGACCGGGGTGTTCGTACAAAATATAATAATAATTGGAGAAGGTACTTCCGTTTATGGCTGTAGTAACGAAAAATATATTGAATAAAATAATTGATGTTTTCAACGTGACGCACTGTTCAAAATAAAAGTGATTTATTATATTAATAAAATAAAACTATAAACAATTATGCACATTATTTTAAAATTTAGTACAGGTATTCTATTTTATAAGGTGCGAAATGTGAGTTTTTCAGTAATAATTAGGTTCCTACTAATTTGAGAGCAACATGCTCTATAAAACTTCAAAACAAGCATGCATTAATTATACCCTACAAAATCACTAAAATATATACCCAGGACGAAACAAATTTGAAGAACGGTAATAATATATAATTTTCCACGGCTGAATTTTTTTCATAGTCTTCCACTGATTATAGCTGTAGTCGCACAACTCACAATCGTCCATTTACTATTTTTTATTTTAGACAAATTACAATATTTGCGATACTATAAATAGTTCTAATAGCAAAATAATAATCAAAAATAGATTAACTGTGTATTTTATTACCTGTACTTGTAAATGTCAATACACATAGGCATAGGTAGGCAGGTAGGCGGTAGCTAACCTACAGGAAAATATAAGGAGTGATTCCTCTTGATCCTTCCTTGAATACGCTCATGGTTAAATCCACACAATATCGCAATGACATAAAAATATATGAACAATATTATAATATTATACCATACGATCATAATATTACATTATTACTACCCCGCCGTTGTGGTTTTCGTTGTAGCTGCCGTTTTATTACGTTTCGGAGTAGTAATAATACCTATAGGCTTTAATATTATAATACCACGCACGCAGAGGTCGTCGTCGTCACCACTCACCAAGCAGCTACAGTAACGACGAAAGTTTTTGTTATAATTACTTACGTCGTGTGTGATAAAATTTAATAATAATAATAATATATTATAATGGCAATATTATTATTAATTATTATTATTGACCACACCAGACGAAATTGCGTTAGTACAACACTGCAAACCGTGTAATCACAGAGCAGGAACCTACGCCTATAACATGAACAATTATAATATTTCACAATATATTTAAACGTCATCGTATATTTTGTTATACAATAATGTACACACAGCACGATGTAGTATTGTTTATTGACTTCTTGTTAGAGGTTGTTTTACACGTATAACGTGGATAAGTGTACTTAGCTACCACGTGCCAGTGTGCCGTACCTACTATGGCGAGGTCTGCGTCGGGCCATGTACTCCGTCCAAACGAAAATGACAATATAATTATTATTGTTACATGGTAGGAAGTGTGCATAAAACATAATATAATATTATTATGTTGACGTCCTAAAATTGTGTATAATATACAAGTCATAGCCACGCAACTCTAGTGCTTTGTTGTAATCGGCGTTATTGTTATTGTTGTCGTCGTTATTATTGTTATGGTTATTATCATAATTATTATGATTACTTTTCACTTATATTATATAATAATATACATAATATATGTATTTATTTTTTACGAAAGTGCAATCCACATTCGCATAATAAGTGTTCCGAGAAAAAAATTCTTCCCATTTCTCCAACAGCTTGCATAAAATAGTCGATTTGTATCGGTGTGGCTGCAAACTTCTGAGTCATCGTAAAAGTTGAGTTTTCAAGTATTACACAACACAGCTTCTCAAAATCATATCTTGAAGTATAATATATTATCATCACGCATAAGTAATACTGTACACATTTCATTCCAAAACCATTTTTCCTTTGAAATAAATTAACTAAAAAGTGATGAGTAATACCTTTAAATATTTACATATCCCTAATGCATCGATATATTATTTAAAAATTATTTGGAGAACACTTATCATGTAATCTTCTTAAGAATAGTATTTAACTCGATGTTTTACTGTTTTAATGTCTCACAATGTATTTTTTTTAAATGTCACATAATTGTGGATAATATTATCTTGAAAAAATAACTTCCGTGCATGATCATAGCAATTAAAAATCCAGGACACGACCATCGATTGTTTATATCTTTTCATTGGTGAATCAATTTAATTAATACCAAGGGGGTTATACACTCACAATAACGTTTAACGAAAAGTTTCAATGACACGAAACTATACAAATAGGATCATAGCTGGTAAACTTCAAATGTAAACCATTTACGGAAAGAAAAAAACAATAAAAAAATAAAAACGTTTGAGATTATGAAATTTTCTTCCAAGACAAATTTTGAATTACGGGCGTATAAAATATTATTATGTATTGATTTTGCATAATATAAAAATATTTTAAGGTCTTGAAATTTTATAAATGATAAAATATAGTTATATATATATATTATACATAGAACTTTGTATAAAAGATAATAAGCCCAAATATAAAGCTCCCATTCGAGTATTTCAATTTGGTTTAGTGTAGTTGGTGAACTCTCATTCTGGCTTTTTACCATATTCTATATTCTATCTATACATACATTCAAAATGTCAATAGTTTAAGAGTTCAATAGTACAAAGTTTATTTTCAAAAAAACTCGTGTTAAGGGTTTTTCGTGTTAAATGGAAAATCGTACGTGAAAGAATAAAAATAACTATATGTATAACCTTTTTTATGTTTATATTATAATTTTTAAGATTAAATAAATCACAAAAACAAAACGTTAGGTTCCAAAAAATTAACAAAAAATAAATAGTTAAAAAATATATGTATGACATATCCACGGTATATTTATATAAATACTAGTATAAAATTTAAAAATATAATTTAATCAGTGCAGTAGTATAAAAACGTATAATATGTATTCAATATTGTATTGAGCAATGTGTTACCTCATATTGTATTTATTAGATTAATAATCTAAATATTTAATATTTAATAATCTTTGTCTTTAGTCATTTTCTCAATTTAAATATTTCATAGCTCATTAAAAATAAACATAAAAAAGGTTTCCAATTACTTATAATTTGGCTTTCGTGGTACATAGATACATTATACCTACACCTGAATTTTGCTTGAAATATTAGTTATAATTTTATAAACTAATCAGCTATAATGTGGTGACTGTGAATAATATTGTAAGGCCGATGTATACAGGCGTGTTTGACCGATTAATCAAATTAATTGACTTTGGAATAATGGTAATAAATTAATGTAAACGCCGATGGTATGATTACCTTATAATAATTAACTCAAATTTACTACCAAAATATTTATAAAAAATCGTTTTTTTTTTTTTAATAATCCGCGTCCTACTCACTTTGTTATCTAGTTGTTTAATTTTAGTACAACCATTATAAATCATATATTATGGGCAAATGTATATTGAACAATAAATAATACACACGATTTAAATGTTCATAACACGGGTGGCACCAGTGGCAGTCTGGCCCACTCAGCTGCCAGGTGATTGCCGAGGACCCTTAGATATTTTTCAATATTGAAGACACATAGCCAAATTAAAAAATGTATATCATTGTATATCATTTATGTGTCATAAGTAGGACATTTCAAATTATTTTTGAACTTACAAAAGCCTGGTTTCTTCAAAACATTGTGAGTAGCATTGAAATACACGTGAACACATCAAGTTAAGTGTGAACAAGTATTTTCAAAACTTAACATTTTAAAAACTAAACTTAGTTCTTTGATACTCAAACAATATCTGGATCCTAAAACTTGTCTGTTTGTTGAAGAAGGGGTATCACTACATTTATAAACAAAGATAAAGTTATTAATTATATTATATTACCTTCCATAACCTTCCAGAAACGCATTTTAAAACTTAATATTTTAAAATAATTCATATTTTGTTTAATTATGTCATGTTATTTATGGTGTTGAATTTTTTTATAGTAAAATATATTAGGTATCAATTTCTATTTGATGTGTAATTGTTTGTTGGGGGCGATAGGGCCCATTAAAAATTATGGGACACCATTACACCAATGACCAAATCATGAACCAGACCGACACTGAATGGCACAACAGTGTATAGTCTTTATATATTAAAAACATGAACATGATGACACATGGATACATAAGTACTTATAAAAAATAAACAACTAAGTTCGTTCTGTGACACACGAATTTAATATTCACCTTTTTTCAATTATTTTAATTTTATTTCAAAAATACTAACATTTTACACATACAACGGATTGATCACTAAATTGGTATTTACCGAAAATTTGATTTAAAATAAATGATAGAAATATGCACTTCTTCAATTATATTTTTAGGACTGTATTAAAAAATTCAATAAATGTATAAATGTATTCACCCAGTATATTATGTCGAACAAATATTTTTGTAAAGAAAAATGGACTAAATATAAATTTAATGTGAAAAATTGTGACTATAAGAATAATACTATGAAAAGTATACGGAGTAGATTCCAAAAAAAAGAAACAAAATTAATATGTAACGCAATAAAACGCAATCACATAACTAAAATATCGTTTAAGAA